TTATTGAGAAGTTTATCTAAATTAAATCTAAGTAAATAAAAAAAATAAAAAGATAAATTGACATTCATGAATAGTAGTTCTTAACGCTCTCCTTCGATTTGTAGTAGGAAGTAAAATTAATAAAAGAATGCATTTGAATAATTTTAACATAGAAAAAACAAGTATGAGAGTTGAAAGGTTAGACCTTCTGATAAATATAAACAATTTGGCCGTTTTGTTTAATTTTTTTGAAAAAATCGAATTACATTTCATGTACGTAATAGAGAATTTTACTACAGCCAAAAATTGCAATGGAATGACAAAAAAATGTTTAGTAAAAAATGCCAGTATTAATATTATTTAAATTAAAAAATTATTTTTAAAACATTTTTATCAAAAAAATATTATTTTTTAAAAAACATTTTTATCAAAAAATATTTTTTTAAAACTTTGCATTTAAGAACTGATTACAAATAATGTGTTAAGATTATATATGGTTCGTTTTAAAATAGTTATCTTCAATTGATTGTGTAAATTTATCTTCATTTTAAATGTAACACTAAAAACGGAGAAGTCAAAGTTTGACGTAGATAGCTTAGTGGAAAGCTGGTTCAAGTGCTAGTCAGGAAAGGGAACCAATCGAAGGAAAACAGCTAAATAGCTGAGAGACTCAATCGAAGGGAATCAATCCTAATGAGATTTTCAATATAATTTTTTAAAAATTTTTAATCAGTGTTCTAAAAGTATTGTTTAGCAAGATCGACAAATTAAAAAGAGTTTATGAGAGTTATTAGTTATTCTCATGAACTCTTCCAAATGCTTTTCTTTTCAGGCCATAGACCTTCTCAAATCTCAGCATTTAGAAGGATTGTTTCGTTTTTTTCCAAGTTACTATATGGATCTGGTTGTACTAGCCAGAAGAACATGATGATGAATCAGCAAGATGTTAGAGCTAGACTTGGTTCAGATCCTTGAATGAGGTTGATTCAGGTCATAGTGTGGGATCAGGCTTAGTATGGCATTGCTTGCAATTGGACCTACGCCTTTTGGGCCGGCTTGGAATTATAACCAGCCCAATAAATTTCAGAGCAAGGTAAGCTGTGGGGCCCGGATTATTAACTTCTCAGTTATCAACTTTTTTAGGAGCTGTAACACTCAATTCGAAATAGGAAAAATAATTAACATTCAATCCCAGTTTCAATGCGAGTTATAGTTTTTTTTTTTTAATAAAAAAAGTAGTTAATTTTTCAAATTATAATTTGATAATAACAAAATGTTATACCTATAATTATGACACTATTTTCAAACCGATATACAGCTTTAACTAAGGTGAATACAATATATCTATAATCTCAATTAATAGACAGTAATGCTTTTTAGTACCCAAAAATGTGAGAAAAAATCTATAGAGCAAAGTGAACAATAAAAAACAAGCGTTCTGACAAAAAATTAAAATAGATGGTAAAAATAAATTAAAAAGAAGGTATCAAAATTAAATTCAAATTGTAAAATAAAAAGAGAACATTCTAACCAAAATATAAATAAGATTATATTGTATTATAATATGCTAGTAGAAAAAGTAATAAATCTATAAATATTATCAACCAACAAATGTGAAAAAAAAATAACGAAAACCAGTTAAACTTTCTGAAATAGCAATTATATAAATATAGTTAAACTTTCTGAAATAGCAATTATATAAATATAGACAGCAATGTTTTTTAATACCGTTACTTAATTTTATGGAAAAAAAAAACCTAGTTTTACGGAAAAAGAAAGGAAAAGGAAAAACTTGAATAAAAGTTTTTAAATTATATTTTGAAAAAAAAAATTATTAATAATCATTCCTCTTTCCTTGCCTCAGTGAATGCAAGTTTTGGGGAGGGTTTGTAGAAACTCAAGGTATACAAGACACGAAATGATGCAATGAGAGAATATTTTATTCAATAATCAGGGGTGGCTTATATAAGCCTTTACAATAACTATAAAATTGAAAGTGCCGTACTGCAAGGCAGTAAAGTAGGCACGTAAATAAAATAACAACGCAACAACTTAAGACCAGTTCAACCCTATAGAGCGGGGAACTTTATGAGCACGTGATAGACGAATCTTAACAACTTAACATTCCTTCCCGTAAGCTAAATGGCTGCATTTTAGCTTATTTGACTGACTGCTGTAACTCCAAGCATGTGTCAAATTTTTTCAAACTGATCAAGCTTTAATGCTTTAGTCATTATGTCAGCTACTTGCTCATTAGAACAGCAGTACGTCAATCGAACTACTTGATCATTAACCAAGTCTCTTAGAAAATGAAATCTTACTGCTATATGCTTGCTCCTTCCATGAAGGATAGGGTTTTTTTGATAATTGAATGGTAGAGCTATTGTCACATAAAATTTCAGTTGCTTCCTTTTCTGCTGATCCAAGGTGCTCTAAAATTCTTTGGATCCAAATACACTGACAGGCATAAGATGCTGTGGCAATATATTCAGCCTCGGTGGTAGATAAGCTTACCACAGGCTGTTTTTTTGACATCCACGAAACTGCTCCACTTCCAATCAAAAAGACTGCTCCGGAAGTGCTTCTTCTATCATCTAAGTCACCTGCATAATTGCTGTCACTATAAGCTATGAGACCGGTCTTTGTTTCCTTTTGATAGAATAGACCATATTCGAGGGTTCCTTTGAGGTATCTTAATAGTCATTTTGTTGCAGCCCAATGTGACTCTTTTGGGTTTGCCATGTATCGATTAATTAAACTTACTCCAAACATTAAATCTGGCCGGGTCACTGTTAGATACATGAGACTCCCAACGGCTTGTTTGAATTTTGTGGCGTCGACTGCAGCACCTTTAGTGTCTTTGGAGAGTGTTGTGCCTGGTACAATTGGATTTCGCACCGAGTTGCTTTCAGTCATGTTGAATCGAGCTAGTACATCATGAGCATATTGTTTTTGACAAATGAAAATTCCTGTGTTACTTTGTATAACTTCGATTCCAAGGAAATGTCTCATTTTGCCTAAGTCAGTCATATCGAACTCCTTCATTGAGTTCTTAAATTCGTCACACATGTATTTGCTATTGCCGGTGAAAATCAAATCGTCAACATAGAGACTGACAATTAGAATATTACCGTGAATCCTTTTTGTGAACAAGGTGTGTTCACTAGGGCATCGTTCAAAGTGTTCTTTTGCAAAGTAAGCTTCGATCTTGCTATACCAAGCTCGTGGAGCTTGTTTAAGCCCATATAGCGCTTTCTTGAGACGGTAGATGTGATCTTCTTTCCCTTTCTTGATGAAACCTTCAGGCTGTTGGACATATACTTCTTCCTTAAGCTCACCATGTAGGAAGGCGCTCTTGACATCAAGTTGCATTACTTCCCATGCATTTTGAGCAGCTAGAGCTAATAACAATCTCACGGTGTCAAGTCTTGCAACTGGGGCAAAGACTTCTGTATAGTCTATTCCAAATCGTTGAGCGTAGCCTTTGGCCACTAGTCTGGCCTTATACTTCTCTATGTGGCCACTTTCATTAAACTTGGTCTTGAAAATCCACTTGACTCCAATGGGTGTTACCCCCTCTGGCAGATTCACAAGTTCCCACGTATGATTCCTTTCTATTGCCTTCATCTCTGCATTCATAGCCTCTCTCCATTGTTGATTTGTACAAGCCTCTTTGAATGATTGGGGATCTTTAGACTCGGTCATCATCAGTGCCAGCAAGCTTTCCTCTTCTACTGAAAAGGTGGTTTCATAATCAGACAACCATGCAGGTTGTCTTCATGATCTTGGAGCCTGGACTTCAGTTGAGAAATCAATGTGTTCTGAATTGGAAGTTGATCTGTGTACTTCGTCATTACTAGTTGTCATTTCATGTGATGTAGATTCTGCCTTTTTATTGACTGGGTCAACTGCGACTGCTTCATTTTCCCAATCCAGAACATCAGTTTTGCTCTTTTCTGCGTTTTCGTTCCAATTCCAGCTTTTGTCTTCTTCAAACACCACGTCCCTGCTCACAATCACGTTCCTTGTAACAGGATCGAATAGTTTGTATGCTTTGGATTCGTCACTTACACCCAGCAGAATACACAGGTGGCTTTTGTCATCAAGCTTGCTTCTTTTTTGATCTGGAATGTGCACGTGAGCAATGCAACCAAACGTTCAAAAATAATCAACTCGTGGTTTGATTCCGCTCCAAATCTCTTTTGGGGTTCGCTGATCATTGGTAGAGGTGGGACTTCTATTTTGAACATGTATACACCAACGCACTGCCTCAGGCCAAAAGGGTTTTAGAACCTACTTGTCGTGTAGCACAGCTCGTACAACGTTCATGATGGTGCGGTTCTTGCGTTCCACAACTCCGTTTTGTTGAGGGGTGTAGGCAGCCGTCAATTGCCTAGTGATGCCTTGTTGTGTGCAAAGGTTCTCAAACTCCTTGGATGTGAATTCACCACCCCGATCTGTTTTGGGACAAGTGATGTGGGTGTTGGCTTCCTTCTCAACACAGGCTTTAAAACTCTTGAATGCAGTGAAAGTTTCAGATTTTTCATGTAAAAAATAGACCCAAGTTTTACATGAATAATCATCAATGAAGTTTAATATGTACCTTCTGTTGCTGTGTGAGACAAGTGAGATGGGACCACAGATGTCGGCATGAATCAATTGAAGTTTTGCTGAAGCTCTCCATGAGCTTTGCTTTGGTATAATGTCTCTGTGTTGCTTGCCCACAAGACAGGTAGTGCATAGTGTTTGGGGAACTTTCATTTGTGGCAGACCGATCACCATTTGCTTATTCGCAAGTATGTTTAGTGCTTTAAAATGAAGATGCCCAAAGCGTCTGTGCCACAGTTGTGTTTCCTTGTCGATAGCGTCCTCAGTTTGAAGGCATCTGAGAGGTTGAGAAGTCATTGAAGCTGTCAGATAAAACATTCGGTTGCCTTTCATGTTGGTGTGAAGGATCAGTCCTCGATCTGGATGGTATATTTTGCACGTATCATTTTGAAATAGGATAGCTAAACCTTTCTCTAGAGTTGCCCTAGACTTAAGAGATTGGTTTTAAGCTCTGGAACATAGTAAACATCGGTGATGACATGAGAGGTGCCATTAATTTGCACCTGAATGCTACCTTTCGCAGTGACAGCCATTGTTGTGTTGTTTCCGAGTTTAACAGATCGACTAAATCCCTCTTCTTTCACTTCTGTGAACCAAAGCTTGTTTCCAGTCATGTGATTGCTGCAGCCAGAATCCAAAAACCAGTCTTCCTCTTGGACAGATTGTGTCGTCTCCTCATATGTTACTAGTAGTAGCTCATCTTTTGCTTCTGTTGATTCGTCAAATGTTGCGTACTGAGCCTTCTTTTCAAACTCGAGACATTTGTACTAAAAGTGGCCTAGCTTGTGACATTGAAAGCATTCAATGAGTGCTCGGTTTAATGGTTATTGTCCTCGACCTCTTCCACGACCACGACTGTTTCCATGACTGTGACCACGACCACGACTTGTTCCAAATCGATCATCATGAGTTATTTTCAATACTTGTTCGTCTGGTTGAAGACTTTGCATTCTTTGTTCATGGACGAGTAAACTGCCATGAAGTTCATCTATGCTAAGGGCGCTTAAGTCGTTAGACTCCTCAATGGAACACACCACGTAGTTGAATTTTGCGGTTAGTGATCGGAGTATCTTGCTAACTACGGTGCTAGAATCTACTTTTTCACCATTTGATTTCATCTTGTTAACGATACTGAGAGTGCGTCCCAGGTACGTATCTACTTTCTCCCTTTCTTTCATGCTTAAAAGCTCGAACTCGTGGCGTAGTGCTTGAAGCTGAGCACGTTTTACTCTCGTTGAGCCTTGATACTTCTTCTGCATGGATTGCCAGATTGCCTGCGATGTATTTTTGTCTAATATGGTTTCCAAAATCTCCCGATCAATAGATTGGAATAGGTAATTCTTTACCTTTAGATCCTTTAGATTGGCCTCAGCCACACTCTTGCGTTGAGCCTCAGTGGCTGTGGCTCCAAACACTGGTATGCCATCTTCTACGAGCTGCCACAATTCTTTGCTTCGTAAGAAGTTTTCCATCGTCATAAACCAAAAGTCATAATGGCCATCGAAACTTGGTATGGCCGGTTGCATGAACTTATCTGAGGTAGACATCCTTTTTCACGCACACTGTACTCTCACACTTGGATGTTTTGTGGTTCTCTCACAACACTCTATATTCACACTCACTCCGTACCAGGCCCCTTATGAAGGAGCTCTGATACTAATTGTAGAAACTCAAGGTATACAAGACACGAAATGAGGCAATGAGAGAATATTTTATTCAATAAACAGGGGTGGCTTATATAAGCCTTTACAATAACTGTAAAATTGAAAGTGCCGTACTGTAAGGCAGTAAAGTAGGCACGTAAATAAAATAACAATGCAACAATCTAAGACCAATTCAACCGTATAGAGCGGGGAACTTTATGAACACGTGACAGACGAATCTTAACAACTTAACAGGGTTAACATTGTTCAAAACGTAGACAATGGTTATTTTCATTTTTAAGAGGTGCAATCCTTAGTAAATAGTATGTAGACATAATTTTATTGTTTTTTACGATTAACAAATAACATTGGTATGTTCGTGCCATCTTTTCTAACTAATAAATACTCACGGGTCCAAGCCAGGAAAATAGCTCAATTGGTTGACTTCGTTTAAACCTAGCTAGCGTCATTCATTCATCACCTTGAAGGAGGAGCTCATGACAATGTTGAATTACTCATAATAGGAAACTTAGGACCAGCTTAGATTCATCATTTCTTAAGTTGATGTAATGGTCAGTTGATGATATCAATAATTCTGCTACACTAACTTCTACATAGACAAACAACTATGATCTACCATTCCCTATGAAGAGAATAGTTACCTTCTAAGGTAAACACTTAGGAGACAACATTGCTCAGTGAATGATAATCAAAAGGAGATGAATTAGCAAAAGTGAGCCGCTGGGGTGGGCCGCATCAGGGAGTTCCCTGTCACTGCAAATATTAATCTGCAGACACAGTAGCTGATGATTCCAACACTGTCTCATTGATTTATGCTAGGATGCTTTGGGAATATTGGGGCAAGTAGCTTCTCCAACTCCAGCAAACTGAAAAACATTAATGTGAGGAAAACATAAGTATGATAATTCATAAAGTTGAAATACCTAAATGCCATACGCAGAAAATCTGCTAATTCACTTACATCTCATATTTACGATAGGCTTCATTTCTTTTGGCCAAGAACAAATCGCTATCTTTGGGCAGATTGTTCACAGAACTACCTGAAAATTTTCACACGGAAGATCATCATCATCATCAATAATACTACAAGAATAACTTTACCTCCCTCACCAAGAGAGATTGACTATAAGAATTATACTACACATTTTTCAATTTTTTTAAGCTCTGAACATTGCAGGATTAGAGGTATTGTTCAAAACACGAAGAATGACACAAACTAAAGTGGAAATAACAAATTACAAGAACAAAGATTTCTAACCCTAAACATCTCAAAAGTTTATTGATCCAGTGGGTGATTCTTTTAGTTCCTTATGATGCAAACCAGTAAAAATAAACAAGGAAAAGAGGAAAAGAAAGCTGATATTACTTGATATAAAATAGAAAAAATCAGTAGAATAAGTAGTACTGCCTAGAGCTATGCTCCTACAGAGAGCTAATGCCCTCCCTCCATAACTAATTTCTTAATTTTCTGGCAAGATACCCTCTCACACACCAACCCCACTACTATAACGGACTCCCTCCTTAGCCACTTATACTCTCTCTCTCTGCCACGTCACCCTCCTTGCCTATACATTTCTTCTTTTCTTCTAGTGTAAACCCTCCATAATGTGGGCTCTGCCCCATTTGAGCCCATATCCTTACCTGTAGCCCTAACACCTTAATCCACAGATTCTTTTTTCTAAGTAGGAAACTAAATTAGAAGTAAATAAAATTTATAAGAATTTCCTAGACTTTAGCATTTGATTACAACTCATGCAGTTGTGAAAGAACCACAGAAGAAATCACAATTTTATGCAGAGGGAGGGAAGAGATAAGTAGAGAGAACTTAAGACCTGATCCTAAAGAAAGATGTCTCAGTATTGACGAAAGTTAGTGTGTTTGTTGAATGAGTTAAAGTTATTCTTGAAAAAAATGAATTTTGGAATATGATATTCCCATTTTTGGCATTTTTTATAAAAAATTGGGTAATGTGGGTTTCAAGGGAAACAAAATTTTCATGTTTTGTTTAATTTTTATTAGGATGATGAGAGCTGCATGGGAAAGGCAGTAATCTTATAAGCCAACCATAAACTTCCACTCACACTTCTTTCTATAACATTGTTTCTCCCATCATTTGATTTTGAGAAATAAAATAAAAAATATTAAATGATAACCAAACATGTTTTTTAATTTACTCAAGAATAACTTCCTAATCATAGTGTTCTGGGTATGTTGTTTCTTGGTAAATATAATCACATATACCTTGTAAGACAAACCTCTGAGGAATAGGCAATTTATTCACTAGTCCAGACAACAGAGGAGAATTTGGGAGAATTTGGAGATAGGGCAAATGTAAGAGTATAACTAAGATCTTAGGGATAAGTATACCTAACTAGCCTAGCCAAATTTCCCTCCCCCACCAAATAAATAAACTCAAAACTAGGACAGTATCCACAACACTTCACAGCCAACACTGACACTTAAGCCTAAGGGTACAGGGGAGTGAGGAAAGCTTAGACATTGTACCCATAGATACAGAGTAGCTCAAACCACAATATATTAGAAGCAGAATTAAATTTATTGCACGTGCACAAAATTAAATTGGCTACACATGAAAATTTACACTAGTATTGCTTAAAAAGCATTTCTAATTCTAATGATTTTTCCCATTTAAAAGTTTCCAGTAATGTGCTCCTACATAGAGTTACTTCACTGATATGTGCCAATTTTGGCTGAGTGAAAGTGAAAAAAACATTCCTCAGTACAGTAACAGAAAAAAAATTTAAATGGTAAGATGGTTAAAGCATACATGAAAGTGGGGCTGGGTGTTTCATCAGCACATCTTTCTGAACCTTCAAGGATGAGTCTTTGTCAGGCTGTTCTAAACCCTGTCCAGGTAAACAAATAGTAATAAAATATATATTATATTAAGTCAACACAAATTCTACAAAACATATAATATCAAAACTATTATTCAATGTCATGTATGTGTATATGGACAGGCTTTGAGAAAGGACCTATTGAACCTGAAAAGAAATGGGAAATGGGGGATTTAGAGGATTGAAAGCCCACCATATAACCTAAGAAGCACAGACACAAATTGAAGTGTGTCGCCGGCATACTCTTCAGTTGAAGTCCAGGAGAGATACCAAATTGATAGGCACAAATTAAAGAAAGCAACTAAACTACTTCAGTTAAAATAGTGGGAAGGATGAAGTTACCTAATACGGATAAGTCCACAAACCATAATGGCATTGATAAAAGGAAACCGTGGCTAATCAACAAAGACGATAAAGAATTGAATACCTTCTTTTTTTCCCTTCTTTTTAGTATCTTTAAGTGGCATTTTTTGATGTAGTGCATCAAGTGATATCGAGAATGCCTTGAGCATAACTGTTCTTGGACCTTAGGGTTCTCGGTTAACCAGTCCGAAATCTCCTTGGATTTCACCACCTCATCCTTATCCAAAGTTTCTAACCACGAATAAACCGGTATCCATTGATCAGTGCGCTGAAACCGTGCGTGTGGAAGATCAAGCTGATTCACTTCCTTTTCCTTCAATATTTCAAAGATTAAAAAAAAAAATTGTCAACAAAACAGTGTCATTTAATATATATTATATTATATATTATTATGCGTTTTTATTTTCTCTTGCTAATAAATGCAGAGCGAAAACCTTAACATCCGGTTTTCAAAACGGTGGAGTTGAACCTGGAGAGCCTAGGGAGAACTGCCACGTGTGAGTGAGCGATTGGCTGATTTCGTGGAAGCAAAATTGAAGGGTTGTAGATGTTGCGGGATTGAAAAAAAGAGGAAAGGAGAGAAGAACCTGATTGGGGAGCCTCATGCAATTCTGAAAGGAAATAAGTCTGAGGCAGAGATCAGGGCGAGGCATGGATCGAAGGCCTTCGGGGAGAGAAGAGAGGTTAGATTCGATCCAAGCTTCGACCTCGCCCATGCTCACTTCCTTCGCCTCGGGGAACGAGCAGAGCCACGCGCGAGCCATTGTTTCCCATTCTTCGGATTGCTCGTTCTGCTCTTGCTCTTGCTCTTGCGCCGTTGCGTCTGCGTCACCGGAGTTCGACATGCTCGTCTGTGGCACACGGCATTTCCGGCTCAGTCACTCTGAGAGGGTTTAGCGTTTTAAGACTGAAAAAATAAAACGACGCAACGCTTCTTCTTGTTTCCCACTGCCACGTTTCCCCCTCTTGCCTCTTGGCTCGGGACTCTGTAACCGTGGTGTTAATTGTTATTGTTGCTGTGATCTCACTCTTTTTCTTTTTTCGAGATTTTTAAGGGAAAGTTATTTTTGAAAAATTCTAAGCCATTGCGAGTGCATTTATACCAGATAAATGCTATTAATATATTTTTAGCACACTTGTTAAAATTTTAAAGATATTATATCAGTTTCACTTTTGTTTACTTTCTTAATTTAATTTTTTATAATTTTTAATGAATTTTATTTAATAATTAAAAATATTAAAAAAATATACTTCTAACTCTCATCTTTATAATCGTTTATAATTTTAAAAGTGAAATATTTATATGTATCAATAAATCATGCTATATCCATTTCAAATGTTAGTTTTGACTTTGTGCGATGTAAATAGACTTTTAATATAAAAGAAAATGAACTTAAATATGAAACTGGTTCATAAAAATTTAGAAAATAAAAGTTAAGAAACTAAAAATAAAAAAAAAAATAAAAGGCTTATTTTCTTATCAAAATAAAAAAAAATCTGACAAATATACATCCTAAAGATTTACTAGAAATTATTTATTTAGACATACAATACAATGATATCGGTAAATTTTTATGTATTATATTAGGATTACGATTTTTCAATTAAAAAATATATAATATATAAAAATATTATATTAACTAAATTATGTATTTTAAGAAAAAAAGTACATTGAAAAATATTTTTATTATCATTAATGAAATTTATATTAAAAATAAAAGTTTGAAATTAATAAAAATTATAAAAACATATTTGAATCAATATATATTATCTTTTTTAAAAATCGGTACAACATCATTACATGAAATATAACGAATGACTAATTAGGTAATTAATTACACAAATTGATTTATATTTTTCTCTTTTGTGTCAAGTTACATGCAACTTTTCATGAAAAAAAATCATAATAAATATTTACTTTATCTTCAAATTTATTAATTTGATATAGCATATTAAAATTAAATTTCTTTAAAATCAAACTGAAATAAACTAAATTGACTTAAAAATATTTGTGAGAAATATAAATATAAATAATATATAAAATACTTGATATAGAAAAAGCTATTTAACTTATGAAGTACAAATAAAATCATAAAAATCTATCTAACAATATGATAAATGGTTTGAAGATATAAAGTGAAGACAATTTTGATTTTGATCTGTTAACTCAACACAATTATGATGTATATTCATGCTATGCAACAAACTTTTACATGGTACATGAAGCAAACGAGTAGACTCATAAAGATTAAATTTAGATGGTAATAAAGTCCATTTAACTCAACAAATGTAGGAAATTAACAAATTTTGATTACATTTAACAATCTTAGCAATAAATAAAGTTGAACTCAGTGGTTTATATCTTATATTACTATTCTTTAAGTTGTCAACTTACTATTGTTAACTTTCAACTAACCATTGTGTATTACAAGTGTATATGATGGATATGTTTCTTAATTGAAAGAGCTACAAACAAAAATTAGATGTAAAGTGAAAAGAAGTTTATTTACCGCAAAACAAAGACGTAGAACATGCACAAAATACTTGCAAATATTATAATAAATTACATACTAAATTATTTGATTATAAGTATAGGATATAACTTGATATTTTGCTTTGATAGATTTAGACAATGGTTTAAATTATTTTTAATTTTCCACAATGTAATTAGTTTTTTATGATGTAAATATTGATCAAAGTTTCATTAAGTATATCATGATTGATCTCCTAATCATAAGTAGGAAACTTAATTTGAATAAATAAATAATAAAATTCTACTAAGCATAGATCATTAAATTTAAGCAAAAAAATATATTAGTCTATTAAAAATTTTAGATATTATGTTCTCATTTCATCGTATTAATCTTGTTAACATTGAGAGTATATAAATTAATTTAATATATAAATTTATGGATAGTAAAATATATTAATCTTACTATAATATTTAGTCCCAAAAGAAATTTAAATAAATCTTTCTTGAAACTATAGATAAATGATAATATTGTCTAAGAAAAATAATAATAGTTGTTATCAAGTATTATACACTCTTTCAATGATTAAAGTGTCTTTACATTAACTTTAGGGTGAATCGTTTTCACCATAATTCAAGTTTAAACCAAAAGGTATATTTTAAAATTGATTTTTAAAGTAGTAACATCATTCTCAATTATTGCCCAATCATCAACATACGTTAAATGGCTAAAAACATTTCCAACAATATTTGAATATATTATAATTTGCACCATAATTTGAAAAACTATATTGAACCAATGCCTTAAAACTAAGTATACCAATTTCTTCATGTTTGTTGTAAGCAATATATAAATTTTTATTTTTGAGTTTAGTGTGGTAATACATTAAAAATAAAGCCAACAAAAACTCACTAGGCCAATTTGAATATAGTCATTATATATGATGATTTTGATCTTTTTTTTTTGTTTAAGCTAGGGTAAGATTCAATCAAATTCAAGCTTAAAAATTTAAAAGTAATATAAATTGAACATATTTATATTTTAGTCATTTTTATCACAAATTTAAATAGGTTGAGCAAGATACGACTTAGATGAGTTTTTTATAACTTAAGCAGTTTGAAACTAAAGTTTGGGTCAAAGTGAAGGTGTGAAGTTAAGAAGAAATCTTAACTTGAGCCTTCAACTTTTTTCAAAAATTACTACTATTGTCAGACAAATTTTCACATAACTACTATCGTCACCCACATCTTGTCACACACAACCTTAAACCAGATTGTAAGCCATCAACCACCTTCAAGGTGATGGCATCTTTGATGGGGGCAGTGAAAGCAAGTATGAGGTTGATGGTGAGATGATTGACAAAGACTTATTGGACAATACAGAGATGCTATCAACAATGAAAATTTGCATAACCACCAAGGGAGACACACAAGCAAATTCAAGGAAGTGAAACTTGTTAGAACAATACTTTCCTATTAACTTCTTCATTGATGCAACACATTGCATTCTAACAAGGAGAGACTAGTCAAATAGTTAGGGAAGGTGAAGACAAAATGTGAATGACCCATGATACATAGTTTTTCTAAATTAGGCAGTTGCAAGGTTCAAGGTTTGTCCTTTCAAAATTGAAATAAGCATTTGTTATGAAGATCATAATGGAGAAATGTGTCGTTTACATTCATTTGTTATAATTGTTACAGAGGAGAAGAAAATAAAGAAAAGAATATATATTTTCTTGTATTGACATAGTAATAGAGGAAGACTATATATAAATTATACATGAAATTATTTTTGGAAAAGAAAAACAATCATACTAATCTAGACTAGAATAATTGAAGAGATTTCTACCAACACAAATTTGATAACTAGAATATTTTTGGTTCCTATTATTAATCCTTGATAGCTCATGTCAATATTTCCCTTCAAGTTGGTGCTTAGATATCTTTAATGCCCAACTTGTCAAGTGAGTTAAGAAATATGTTGCTAGAGACAACCTTTGTAAGTATATTAGCTAGCTGACCTTCTGACTTCACAAAAGAAAATTGAATCATCCCATCTTCGAGTTTCTGCGTGATGAAATGTCTATCCATTTCAACATGTTTAGTGCGATCATGATGGACTGGATTATGCATGATTGTTATGGTTGCTTTATTATCACAAAATATATCCATTGTATCTTGAGATGAACACCTAATTTTCTCCAATAATCCTTTTAACCAAAGAAGCTCACACAATCTTTAGACCATACATTTAAACTTGACTCATGCACTAGATAGAGTAACCACCTTCTATTTTTTACTCCTCCAAATAATAAGACTGCTTCCCTCAAAAGTGAGATAATCGAATGTAGATTGTCTGTCAATAATGTCTCAACTGTAACACCTTAAATTTAATTTCTAAAATAAATAAATTTTACAGTAAATGAGAATAAATCAAAATTTTCATTCAATTAGTTCTCAACACATGATTTCAATAAAGTCTTTCAAAATAAGGGTGGATTACAATTTGAATCAAATAATTGTTACAAGACTAATTCAAATACATCATAGTTTCAAAAAATAACTTTTTAAGTTTTATAGCAGTTTCATTCATCTATTCACTGACCTTGATGCTAATTGTCTTGATCACCTAAAAAATAAATGTAAGGGTAAGTATTATACACTATTGCACACAAACACAAAAACTCACCTCACCTTGCACATTTTACAACAATTACTAATATGATAAAATTACATTTAAACAAGCATCAATCCATTACTTTCAATAATACTCACTGCACTCTCAATCATTTAACCCAACACGTGCGCTCATTGCACATTAATCACGCTCACTATAGCATTATGATCACAGTTTTCCTAATGCCATCAGCTTTAAGGACTTACTCATTTCACACCATGGATGGTCACCGGATAGCTCCCGCTTCACGGATACAACGTATGTGGTATTGAGCCCTCAAGCAAAAGTGTTAGTCAGAGACCGAGTTAGGAGGAGAGTGTGTGGCTTGTGGTGCACCTACGCTCACTGTTGGTATCACCACCACCCTCTTTTTCCCAAAGTATTTTTATCGCCCCATCTTCTACACCCACAGTGTATCGTTGAACCATTCATAGTTTTCAACATATTCCAACATAATTATATTCATACTCAGCATATCATTCACACATATTCTCACCCATTTTATATTATTCAACGTCAACCAATGGCATGCAACCAGCCATTCAACCATAATATAATTCAAACAATTCAAATTTTGTTTGAATTATATTATGGAATGATCGAAATGTCTCAAACACTTCATTTTTTTTTAACAAATATAACCAAGTCATTCGCGTATAATCATCCACAAAGGTAAAAACCATCCAACACAGGTAAAAATAATAACAGGGGCAGGACCAAAACATTAGAATGAATGATAGAAAAAGAGTATCACATTTATTTAAACTGAAGGAGTAAAATAGCTATAGAAATAAATAACTCGTATATCAAAACGAGGGATGCCCCAACCTATTATACCATAACCAAATTTGTATTTCCTTGACTACAATAGAATATATATTATTTGCT